TGTTTTCATGCATAGTCTCTCTTGGGAAGTTTTTCAAACATGGAAACTGAGAGTTGGGAATCTATTGTTTTAGGAAGGAAGAGCATTGAATAAGCAGTGAAGAAAGCTGATTTGCTAAGAAACCTGGGCAAACATCTACTTAACTATAGAATACTAGAGTTGAGTTTGAATCCCTTCAGCTATAAATTTGAATTAGTAGTCTGTGCTATGTGTTGCTATCATATCTATATGACACTGTTTTCCAAAAGGATTTAGAATACCAAACATTGATGTAAGGGGAAGAAAAATGCTTTCCCAAAAGAAAACTGTGGATAGCGAGAGACTTATGAAGGCATTTAACCAAATTCCTTCTTGTCATCATTGCCTCTGTGTTACCAGTTTTTCTTTCAATCCTCTGCTGATTTGCTTGAATTTTGTCTTTATTTGCTACCCTCAGAGCGTAGTGCTCCAATTATTCACAGTATTTTTGACCTCCATATATTTAAGAAATTGCCTCGTTGGATCCCAGGTGAGCAGGGCTCAGAAACAAACATAGACAATTTAAGGTTCTTTCTAAAGAGGAAATGAGCAGGCAGTGTGTGTTGGGAAATCCTTTTGTCAATGCACCAGGTGTTGGCTGCTTTTCTCCCACAGCAGCCAAAACCCAGACCCTCAGGAAACAGAGGCCAGGAAATCCCTCTGCCCGTCGACCCAGAGGGTGGCGCTTCCAGCCCATGGTTGTAAGCATGGGGCTCTGCTCCTCAATCTTTCACCTTTAGACATTTTACACAGCCGTTGGCTGCCAATTTTCCCCACGTGATAATTGTCTGGGAAAACACTGTATGTTTGTGACCAACATTCGTGTATCAGGACATCACTAAGGACATATGTTTTGTTCTCAGCTTTCTCTTCAGCTCTGATGCACAAGCTATAAATTACTTTGTCATCACCCAATAGGATCAGTCAGAGGAATATTTAATGGCACTTATAGGCATGGTTCTTAACTTTCTTTAGAGTCCTTGGAGAATGTGGCAAAATTAATGCATCCTTTCTTCAGAAAAAAATGTACATTTACGCTTACGTGCAAAATTCAGTATATGATTTTAGGGGACTTTCAGACAGCTACTGACTTCATTATACTTTGTAAAGATTTTTTTTTAAAGATTATTCTTTATGTAAGTATATTGACATATGTATAATGTGTATATCTATTGAATTTCCTGTTATGAATGTTTATTATGTGTCTGTCCTTTTGAAATATGATTTGTTTTTATCAAGCTTTCAGTGGTATAGAGAAAACTCTCATGACAAAATGTGAACTGTATGTTATCAAAGAGCATTTTTTCTTTATAAATTGCCTTTCATAATGGACAAAGAGTACAAGAAACTACTTCTGAAGGGGAAGAGGATGGAGCTAGTATGTATTGAGCACCTGCTGTCTGCCAGGTACCACGCCGGGCACCTTACATATGAGATCTCACTTCATCTCAACAATGATTCTATGACTGTGGAATTGTTCCCATGTAACAGACGTGGCACTGAAGCTCAGGAATAGTAAGTCAGTCGTTTTGATTCAGTCACACTCTAGAGCCCACTAGTTTGCAAAGATAACACAAAGCTTCTTGCTCAAAAATACTGGGCTTTAGAAAAGAAGAGCGCCCCCTGGGAACCCTGGTGGCCTGAGAGGCAGGGAAGAGTCGGTGAGTGGAGGAAGAGCGTGAGTGAATTTTCCCAAGGGCAGGAGGGGCAGTTGTTTATCCCTGGGGTTTTCTTGTATGGGACCACCAATGCCTGCATGAAGACAGGAAGATGGCATTAGAAGACTCTGCCTTCCCCAAATTGGGGCAGCTGTTCCAGCTCGCCCTAGACGTCGGCAGGAAGGAGAGAACACGAAGGAGGAAAGAGACATGGGTTCTCATTAAACAAGTGTGTCAGATTCCTCCTCTTTTTTGGTCTGCACCAATCTCTTTCCTTGTGGTCTTCATTAACCTGCGACTCTGAGGACCCTGCGGGTGACACTCATTTTTGTGCTTAGGAAATATCTGTGGCGGTCTGCAGGGTGAGCCCCCATTCACAGCAAGGAAAAACGGAGTCATGTTCTTCTGCTCTGGAATTTTGGTCAGTAACGGTGGAACAGCCCATACGAACCTACTTAACAGATTTTTTTCCCCCTTAATAAAAAGATGATTCTATTTTCCAGAGATGCTCCTCTGGCATTGCTCCCAGTAAACTTTAAAAAAACAAAAACAAACAAACAAAAAAACAACGTAGTGAAAAATTTATTGGGTCACATTTACTGTCTGATTCTTACTGGGCGGTGGTTGGCCTCAGGAAGCAGGCTCCTTGGTGAGTAACCAAACTGAGAATCAACCCACTCTTTGGGTGTGTAAAATAAGCCCATTTAGTTGAATCTCATGAATTTTCATCATGAACTAGTAAAACCAGAGGTCACTAGGAAACCAACATAATCATACAGTATCCTTCCTCATGGTCCATATCAAAGAGCCTAGTCAAGTGAATGATGAAGAGAGAAATTATACTTTCTAATCCCCAGTGCTTTTACTCAGCCATGAATGGTATTGATTCAGGGAGCTTGTGAAAAGCATTTTCACGAGACAGATTGGAAGCAAGACTAAGTAGGTACATGCTGGCAGCATAGAGTCTAATCTAATTATTGTAGAATCTTAGAGATAATCTAAGTGCTGCCTAATTGCATACAACACATTTTATTGACTCTTTTCTATGTGTAAGGCACACAGACTGTGTATGGGGTACATACCTATTTTCTGTGGGCAAAAACCAGAATTACCCAGAGGGCTCGTTAAAACACAAATGGCGGAGTCCCATCCCCAGAGTTTCTGACTCCGAGTTTCCGGAGTGGGCCTGAGAACTGGCATTTCTAGCAAGTTCCCAGGAGCTGCTGCTGATGCTGCTGGTTCAAGATCACACTGTGAGAACTGCTCTACACCCTCATGGGGGGGATTATTCCAGGGTTCGCTTGAGCCCTTCTAATGGGATGGGTTGTGAAAGCAGCCGATCCCAACAGGACAACTTTCTTAGAGTTTACCAACACTGCGCTGAAAAGTGCCTCCCGGAAACTCTCTCCCTGGTCCTAACTCTGCCGGCCGGAATTGCTCTGGACACACCTAATCCTCATTTAACAAATGCCCATGCACGTTCATCCTAAGGAGGGCAGAGAGGGGTCGGTTTGGCAAATAACATTGTTACGTTCCATGCCTGTTTAATCTACTTTGCTAACAATAAATTTAAATGTTAATAACTGGGGTGTACATACACCATAAAGGGTACAAATGTCATGTGTACAGCTTGATAAAATTTTACATAGGTATACACTCATACAACTGCCTTCCACATCAAGACAGGAAATATTTTCACCCTTCCTCAAAATTACCCTGTCCTGTTTCCCGGTCCGTAGCTGGCCCTCAAAAGCCAGCACTGTTCTATTCCAGTTGCCATGGATATTTCCTGCTCCTCTTGAACTTTATGCAGACGGAAGCAGAGAGAACATGCCCTTTTGTATCTGATATTTTCAAGAAGACTGTGAGGTTTAACCATGTTCTAAATAGCAATATTAGTTCTTTTGTTTTAATTGCCTTGTGGTATCCCAAGTTTGGCTTGTGTTTATAGTTGTATATTTAATTGCTCTTTCTATTTTTTTTTTGCGGGGGTGGGTGTGTTGTGGGATGGAATTTTGCTCTTGTTGCTCAGGCTAGAGGGCAATGGTGCAATCTCAGCTCACTGCAACCTCCGCCTCCCTGGTTCAAGTGATATTCTCCTGCCTCAGCTTCCTTAGTAGCTGGGATTACAGCCACCACACCCACCTATTTTTTTGTATTTTTAGTAGAGACGACGTTTCTCCATGTTGGCCAGGTTGATCTCGAACTCCTGACCTCAGGTGATCCACCCGCCTCAGCCTCCCAAAGTGCTGGGATTACAGGCATGAGCCACCGCGCCTGGCCCCTCCTTCTGTTTTATATAGTTAAGGTTGGAAATTGATATGGTTTGGCTCTGTGTCCCCACCGAAATCGCGTTTGGAATTGTAATCCCCATGTGCCAGAGGAGTGGCCTGGTGGGAGGTGATTGGACCATGGAGGTGAATTTCCCCATTGCTGTTCTCGTGATAGTGAGTGAGTTCTCACGAGATCTGATGGTTTAAAAGTCTGGCGCTGACCGTTTCTTTCTCTCTCTCTCCCGCCGCCGTGGCGAGGTGCTCGCTTCCCTTTTGCCTTCCGCCATGATGGTAAGTTTCCCAAGGCCTCCCCAGCCATGCGGAACTGTCCACGCACTGTCTGGATTTTCCCACCTCCTTCAGATGAGCAGATCTGTGGATGCATGTTCTCTCTTATGTAACTGTCTCCCTACAAAAATAAACTTTTCTCTTTGCTGGCTCTCTGATCACTTCCAAAATCCCTGTCCTTGATAAGTGCGAATAATAGAAGAATCGGTTGTACGTTGTGGTTCCTGTTAAGGTTACACCTAAATTGTCTCTGAAAAATAATTGTCTGTTTTGTTAAAGGAAATGTTTAAACTTCCTTTGACTTTTGTGTCTAATAAACCCTCAGCAGAAGGAAGTTTATTTTTAAATACAAATTACTGTGGCCACTTAACGCCTCATTTCCTTTTTCATTCTGCTAATTGGAGATGGGAAATTGCTGGTCAGCCTATTTCATGCTATCAACTTGAGTACGTTTAAAAAGATAATCAGAGACTTTGCAGCAGTTTTAAGTCTGGCTTTGATTCAATATCTGGATAAAAAGCCTCCACATGCCCTTATGATTAAGAATTCTTGTTTATGTTTTCATATTTTCCATGGTGCATGCAGACCTCATCCTTTGGGTTTTTATTGTTAAGTACGTAGATATAGTGTTGTTTGGGTTTATAATAATTCTCTGGGTTCTAACAGGAAATGAAGGTCAGGAGTAAAAGATGGGATGCCCTTTGCTTAATCTGTCATCACACTAGGTTTTCATAAATTACATAACATCCATTTATCTGTTTATCTTTCTGTAATTCGAATTTATATCCTAAATTTCATGTTAAAAAGCTTTGAGGTTTTTTTTTTTTGTTTTTTTTTTTTTTTTAACTGAGCCACAGGCTGGGCATGGTGGCTCACGCCTGTACTCGTAGAACTTTGGGAGTCCAAGGCAGGAGGATAGCTTGAGCCTGGGAGTTCAAGACCAGTCTGAGCAACATAGCAAGACCTTGTCTCTACAAAAAACGACAACAAAAAATTATCCAGGTATGCTGATACGTGCCTGTAGTCCCAGCTACTGGGGAGGCTGAAGTGAGAATCACTTGAGTCCAAAAGTTTGAGGCTGCAATGAGCTGTGATTGCACCATTGCACTCTGGGTGACAGAGTGAGACTCTGTCTCAAAAAAAAAAAAAAGGAATACAGAAAAAGAGAAATCCTGTAGGACAAATGACCAGCGATTTATCACATATATGTAGCATCAGAAAACAGGTGGAGGCAGACACTGGAGATTAAAAGAAGCAAGAAACAAAAATGGAATGTGACTGGGGACTCTGTTCTAATCTTGATTCAAACAAATCAACCATACCAAGACCCTTTCTTTAGGGAATCAGACAAATTTAAATACAAACTGAGAGTTAGATAATAATAGGGCATTGAGCATTAATTTTGTCACTTGTGATAATGGTTTTGTGGTTATGTTAGTAAAAGAGTTCCTACAGGTAAAGGCATACTGCAGTATTTATGGATGAAATAATGGTGTCTGGAATTTGTTTTTAAAATACTCTAGGAAAAAATGGTCGGGGAATAGATAAAAACAGATACTAAAGATTGGTAACATGCTGATGCTTGTTAAAGCTGGGTGATGGATACAGGGAATCATTTTACTATTCTCTCTACTTTTGTGTGTTTTAAAAATTTTCATAAGAAAAGGTTCAAAAATAGGCATAAGAGGGGAGCTACATGATGACATATTTGTCACATTGTGATATATGAGTACAGTCTTAGAAGTTCCTGTGAAATACAAGCCTGTAATAAAATGAAATCTAAAACTCTGTGTCTGCCAAACAGTTCTTATTTCTTTTTGGAAAAAAATAAGTTATTAATTATGTTTCTGCTTTGTTTGCAGATGATTCTGGGCCTCCCCCATCTACTGTCATCAACCAAAATGAAACGTTTGCCAACATCATTTTTAAACCTAGTGTAGTACAACAGGCCAAGATTGCCCAGAATGGAGTTTTGGGAGACTTTATCATTAGATATGATGTCAATAGAGAACAGAGCATTGGGGACATCCAGGTAATGGGATTGTTGTTGCTATTTCACATTGGTTGGTCGATACTTTGGATAGACTCAGACTGTAGATTCCAGTGTTTACCTAAGGGAGAGAGAACTTTCTGCTTCTTAGTAAATTTGTTGTAACCTAAAATATTTCTTCAAAGAGACTAGTGGTATTTTTTTGCTGAGCGTACCTATTTCTGGCTTCAGTAATCTGCAGAGCAAGTGAAATCTGTAATGTCAAGCTCCCTGTGGTGTTTTAGATGAAATTAGAATTTTAGTTCATGCTCCATTTGATTTTATTTTTGAGACCGAGTCTCGCTCTGTCACCGAGGCTGGAGTGCAGTGGCCGATCTTGGCTCACTGCAACCTTTGTCTCCCAGGTTCAAGCGATTCTCCTGCCTCAACCTCCCAAGTAGCTGGGATTACAGGCACCCACCACCATGCCCCGGTAATTTTTGTATATTTAGTAGTGATGGGGTTTTGCCATGGTGGCCAGGCTGGTCTCGAACTCCTGACCTCAAGTGATCTGACCGTCTCAGCCTCCCAAAGCTCTGGGATTACTGGCATGAGCCACTGCAATTGGTCCATGTTCCATTTTAATTAAAAGAGTGCTTATTTTCCTTTAGGTCTTATTGTTCCAGAGACAGGGTGGGGATATTAAAACCTATTAATTGCATCCAGAATATAGAGAATCTTCATGTCTCAGCTTGTAAGATGCTTGGTAAAAAAACAGATAGCGAAGGAAGCAGAATTCTCAAGTAGCAGAGGTCCAGGGGATGGATAATTAAACTTGAACTGGTAGTCATCATTGATCAATTTTAAAGGGAAGAGTCTACCCTTATACAGATTAAATTAGCAATTAGTTCTCTTGGAGGGATCAGGGGCTTAGATAATTTTACTCCAGGTGTGGAATCTGACCCTCAGCTCTGTGTCATGCTTTAACTTTTAGAAATTCCATAGAATACCCACTTCAGGTATTTTTCCTCCCTACTCTAGGTACTACCGTTTTTACTTTCTTTTCTCTCCACCAGGTTCTAAACGGCTATTTTGTGCACTACTTTGCTCCTAAAGACCTTCCTCCTTTACCCAAGAATGTGGTATTCGTGCTTGACAGCAGTGCTTCTATGGTGGGAACCAAACTCCGGCAGGTGAGCGAGTGCCAACCGCCCATTTATTCCTCTCTCGCTTTTGCCTGGGACAAAGACTTGCTTTGCGAATAAAGTTCAGTAGATGCCGAACATCAGCTTTACCATCCAACGATTCCTGCCTATGGAGAGCCTTCCTGAGCGGATTCAGTTAAGTCATTGACATAAACTGTCATTTCAGCATGGTGGTTTTAAGAGAGCAGAGGGACGTGCTAGAGAAATCCCTTGAAATAAAGGGCGCTGGCAGAGTGGATAATGTAAGTGAGACAGGAATACATCGACAGGGCCAGTCCTCAGCACGATCACTGATGGAGTAATTCTGTTCAGTGATGAGTCCTCTGAGAACAGTGGAATAGAATCACTGGAAGCCTCCTTAGAATAAAGAACTCAGGTCTCAGTAAATCAGGACTGATGTTGTCACAAAATTTAGGATGAATCTTAAAATTTCCGGGTGGTGGGGAGACATTCAGGGCTCATGTAGTTTATGTTGAAAAATTAGATTCCTGAAAATATGACTATTTATACTTTTCTTGCAAACCGCTGGAAAAGACTGTTTCTTTTCTTATTTTGGTATCTTAAATGTCAGAATCTTGCATTTACAATACATTTCAAACTCACATAATAGAAAACAGAGCTACTGGTTGCCAGACCAGCTAATATCTTTACGTTCTTTGAAAACATAAATCTCTTAGTTTGTCTTTTAAAATTCATCATCTGTTTTGTTTTATTTATTTTTTTGAGACGGAGTTATGCTCTTGTTGCCCAAGCAGGAGGACAATGGTGCGATCTCAGCTCACTGCATGCAACCTCTGCCTTCTGGGTTCAAGGGATTCTCCTGCCTCAGCCTCCTGAGTAGCTGGGATTACAGGTGTCCACCACCACATCTGGCTGATTTTTGTATTTTTAGTAGAGACAGGGTTTCATCATGTTGGCCAGGCTGTTCTCAAACTCCTGACCTTAGGTGATCCACCTGTCTCAGCCTCCCAAAGTGCTGAGATTATAGGTATGAGCCACCACGCCTGGCCTATTTCATTTTTTAAATCAATTCACAATGCTTTTGTGATTTAATGAGTGAGATACTATCTTAAATCTCATAAAAACTCTCTATCCCACCTGCGTCCACCTCTAGGTCCCACCTCACATGCTGTTGAACCTACTCCTATCTGATAAACTATTGCAACTATTTTTTTTCTCAATCTACTACTTTATAAATGGCTTCTTTGGCCATTTATGTTTTACAAATCCAGCAGTGAAATCTGTATCTTCTACATGGCATCTGGTTTTCCTACACTCCGATAGAGCAAAAACATATTCCAAAATACAATGTGAGACTAGGGTTTAACTGTTTTCTTTCGGAGCAGGGGTATCCAATCTTCCGGCTTCCCTGTGCCACACTGGAAGAAGAAGAATTGTCTTGAGCCACACATAAAATACACTCACACTAACAATAGCTAATGAGGAAAAAAAAAAAAAAAAAATCACACAAAAAACCTCACAATGTTTTAAGAAAGTTTATGAAATTGTGTTGGACCACATTCAAAGCCGTCCTGGGCTGCATGTGGCCCGTGGGCCGGGGGTTGGACAAGCTTGTTTTAGAGGATAGCCAAATATAATGTCTAATTAATGTAGGGGGAAAATAAAATAACCTTGCTCTGTGAATCAGCTTTTAGTGGTTCTTTAACGTCATGTGCTTGTCCAGAGCGCAACGGGAAAACGGCTCCATTTTTGACATTTTCTTCCTTCTGCTTTCTTGACTTTCCACCCTGGAGTTCCTTTTTTTGCATGAGGAGCGTCATCCATGAGCATATTTTTTTTTTTTTTTTTGAGACAGAGTCTCGCTCTGCCGCCCAGGCTGGAGTGCAGTGGCCAGATCTCGGCTCACTGCAAGCTCCGCCTCCCGGGTTCACGCCATTCTCCTGCCTCAGCCTCCCGAGTAGCTGGGACTACAGGCGCCCGCCACCTCGCCCGGCTAGCTTTTTGTATTTTTTAGTAGAGACGGGGTTTCACTGTGTCAGCCAGGATGGTCTCGATCTGCTGACCTCGTGATCCGCCCGTCTCGGCCTCCCAAAGTGCTGGGATTACAGGCTTGAGCCACCGCGCCCGGCCCCCATGAGCATATTTTTAAAAAGAATTCTCTATCTTTGTCTGAAAATGATTTATTTTACTTTTATCCTTTAAGGATAGTTTTTACCAGGTACGGTATTTTACATTGGCAGTGATCGAATGATGAATATAATATTTGAAAATCTGCTTGTAGAAATAGTTTGAGGCCTAGGATGATGGTCTGTTCCTCTAGAGAAGGTTTGGGCTTGTTTCTATCAGGTCCCTGGGGGAATTAAAATCTGGGATTACTTTAGTTCAGTTTCAGGGATGGAGGTGTTTGGGCAGCCCAGATGGCTCGAAGCTGGACTGCAGTCCTTTTAGGAGCTGGTGTATTTCTGCTTTGCACACAGTGTAGAAGGTTTGCTAGAGCATCCCTAAGCTGCAAAGGGGATGCGCAGCCTCTCAGGTAGCTCTTTGGCCGTGACAAACATCCTTTAGACACAAGTGGTCCCAAATGCTGAGCTTACCTCTTAAAATTTGCATCTTCTCTCAGATATTTTTTTCTCACGGTTTTGTTTGCTCTCTGTTCCTTTAAAGATTTTTTTAAAACCCCGTTTGTTTAGCTTTTTTAGTTCTTACTGGGAAGCTAAAGAAAATGTTTGTTTAAGTTGTTTTTCAAATCTCCTCTGTGATGTTTTAGGATTTTCAGTTTTTTGTCTGTGTCTGCGAAATCCAAACTGTAGAGTCCCTAGGGCTCAAGTTACTTGTAGGTTTCCCAAAGATTTTCCCAAAGTTTTCGTTACACCAAAGTGAAGCTTTCTCTTATAGTGGCTGATATTTATTGACGTTTTAGAGGCCACACAGCCTTTCCTTATTTACCAAATACCCTGTGAAGTTACTTGCATTATGTGCTACAAGTTCTTTTTCTTTTTGAGACGAAGTCTCACTCTGTCACCTAGGTTGGAGTGCGATGGCACGATATCGGCTCACTGCAACCTCCACCTCCCGGGTTCAAGCAGTTCTCCTGCCTCAGTTCCCCCAAGTAGCTGAGATTACAGGTGCTCGCCACTATGCCCAGCTAATTTTTGTATTTTTAGTAGAGGTGGGATTTCGCTGTGTTGGCCAGGCTGGTCTCGAACTCCTGACCTCAGGTGATCTGCCCGCCTTGGCTTTCCAAAGTGCTGGGATTACAGGCTTGAGCCACCGCGTCCGGCCCTAGGTACTTACAAGTTCTTAAGTGCCATTTGTTGATCAAGTTGTTTTGTGACATTGATGACTGTATGATAGATGCTGACAGAAGAATAATCATGGCTTCTTTTAAGACCATTGTGGGCCACAGAATACAGTGTTAATTAGGCTGACATATGATCAGTATGGTAATTCCCATTTGGATTTTGAATCACTAAACAGTTACTGAGTGGGTGCCCTGTACTAGATTTCCCCAGGCATCTCATTTAATTCTTAGGTACCTATGGATCTTCAGATGTTCTTTCTTTTGCTTTCTAAAAAAAAAAAAAGCTTTGTTTGGGGGGCAGGGTTTGTATTTCCTCTGAACAAACATACCTTGCTGAAGATATTTATGATTAAATTAACTGCAACCAGTCTGAATTCCTGTGACTACCGAATAGTTTGTATTCTGATGTTTTTATTCACCCCCATATCATGAATATATCTTATGGAGTTAAATATTCTTTAAAAACCTGATTCTAATGGCCATAAAGCAATACTGTTCACTAGAAGCTTCTGTGAGAATGGGAATGTTCTACACCTGTGCTGTCCAATGCAATAGCCACTAGTCACATATGGGTGTTGAGCGAGTGAAGTATGGTTAATGCAAGTGAGGAACTGAATTTTTAATTTTATTTAATTTTAATAAATTTAAATTTGGATAGTTATATGTGGCTAATAGTTACCATATGGGAGTGTGTAGCTGCAGAACATTTATTCACCCTACCACCCATTAGAGACTTTTCAGCCGTTTCCATTTTTTGCGATTATAAACCCCATTGGGATGACTGTCTTCATGTAGAAATCTCTGACGCATGCCGTGTCAGTTTCTTAAATTAGATTCTTAGAATTGGAATTACTGGGGCAAAGAATACCAGCTAATTTGTGGGTTTGGTACATTTTCCAAAAACATTTTCTAAAAAGTCTGTACCAATTTATAACATTTAAAACTGTTACCAGGCTAAGAATTCCAAATGGATTACGAGGCTAAAGGTAATCAATGAGCCACATCCCAAAATACGTTAAAAAAAAAAAAATACAGGTGCATATTTAACTGATTTTCAAGTGGGAAGAAACTTTCTAAGCCTAAAAGCAGTGTAATCACTTTTAAGCCTAAAAGTAATTACAAAGGGGAAAATCAGCAACTTTAGCTACATAAAAATTTTAAATTTTTGTTGTAAACAAAAAAAAAGTAAGCAAAAGACTAGAAAATTACATGCAGGAAAGAGACAGAAGTGTATCATTAATATGTAAAGAACTGTTCCAGATTAATGAAAATTAATCCTGTATAAGAAAATGAGCAAAGGTTATAAAACAAACTACTAGAAAGAAATAAGAAGATTCAATAAACTTATGAAAAAATCATCAAGCATATTAGTAACTAAAGAAATGCATCTCAGGTGCCAGAGTCACTTCAGGATTTGACCCCAAACCTGGTCCAATCCAGTGCCCCAGGGTTGTCTTCCACTTCCTGTGGGAGAATGATCAAGAATCTTCCTGCCAAATAACCCTCAGAAAAATAAACCCTGCCCCACATTGTCCAGAGAAAAACTAATGAACGAAATCAGGGTCTCCTAAATGTACCTTTAATCATAAAATAATTCGGGCACTTCTTAAAAATATGGCATGGGAGATTTCCAAAATAGCTAAGAGTATTATGTGAATGATCTAATACAAGAATCTTTAGTCTTCAAAATAATTTGGTTGTCATCCCCATTTTACTGATGGAGAAA